TAATTGTGCCACTGCACTTCAGCCTGGGCAGGACCCTGTCTCAGAGAGAGAGAGAGAGAGAGAGAGAGAGAGAGAGAGGAAGAGAATATGCAGTGAAAGGTGTGAGGGATGAGGCTGAAAGTAGGTGGGGCCTGGCTCCTGCAGGACCCTGAAGAACCTCACTAACGAGACGGGCTTTTATTCCAACAGCGATCAGCAGCCATTGCAGAGTTTTAAGCAGATGAATGGCACTATTCACAGCAGCCAAAAGGTGGGAGCAACCCGTATCCATTGACAGGTGAATGGGTAAACAAAATGTGCTCTATATAGACAATGGCATATTATTCAGCTTTAAAATCTGACACATGCTACAACCATGGATGAAGCTAGAGGACACAATGCTAAGTGAAATTAAGCCCGACACAAAAAGACAAACACTGTTATTCTACTTCTATGAAGTATCTAGAGTAGTCAAATTCACAGAAAGTAGAATGGTGGTTGCCAGGGGCTGTGACGAGCATTTGTTTATTGAGTAGAGAGTTCAGTTTTGGAAGATAAAAAGAGTCCTGGAGACTGGTTGCACAACAATATGAATGTATTTAACAGTATGGGAACTCATATAGTTTGGCTGTCTGTTCCCACCCAAATCTCATGTTGAATTATAATTCCCAATGTTGGGGAAGGGAGCTGCTGGGAGATGATTGGGCTATGGGAGCAGATTTCTCCCTCGTTGTGAGAGTGAGTGAGTTCTCATGAGATCTGATGGTTTAAAAGTGTGTGGCACTTCTCCCTCTCTCTCTCTGTCTCCCTCTGTCTCTCTCTCTTTTTCTCTCTCTTGTTGTCATGTGCAGGTGTGCTTGCTTCCTCTTCACCTCATGTCATGACTGTAAGTTTCCTGACGCCTCCCCAGCCATGCCTTCTGTACAGCCTGTGGAACTGTAAGTCAATTAAACCTTTTCTCTTTATAAACTACCCAGTCTCAGACAGTTCTTTATTGCAATTTAAGAGCCAGCCAACACAGAAACTGTACACTTACAAATGGTTAAGATGGTAAATTTGTCATGTATGTAGTACTGCAGTTAAAAACAACAACATAATGACGACGACAAAAAGGCACCGTGACTGTACTATAGCATTGTACAGAGATTAGACTGGAGAAGGCAAAACTAGAGGCCAGAGACCAGCTAGAAGCTGCAATGGAAGCAAGAGAGGATAATTAACTGACCTGGGCAGTTGGAAGTTGATTGATGCTGCCATTTGCAAGACAAGGTAGACAGAAGGAGCACGGGATAGGGGACGATGGTAGATTCTGTAGCCATATATATATATATATATATATATATATATATATATATATATATGTTTGTGTGTGTTTGTGTGTGTATATAGCCACATGTATATGTGTGTGTTATGTGTGTGTATATATATACATATATATATATATATATATATGTACACACTCTATTATTTTTACCCTCTATCAAACATCATGGGATGCTGAGATACAGAGGGATGGATATATCTAAAGAATTGGCTGTAGGACCATGAAAATGTAGAAATATAGATTAAGCAAAATAGAAGAGGTCCAAGAGGTATCTACGGATGTTTCAAATAGAGTATAAAATATACCTTAAAAATAAACATCAGGAATTAAAAAAATATAGTGTTGGGAACTAGTCTCTCACTCCTCATTTTGCAGGATATCACTGGTTTTGTTATTGTGTTTGTTAGTTTTCTGAGACAGGGTCTCACTCTGTTGCTCAGGCTGGAGTGCAGTGGTGCAATCTCAGCTCACTGCAACCTCTGCCTCCTTGGTTCAAGCAATCCTCATGCCTCAGCCTCCAGAGTAACTGGGATTACAGATGTGTACCACCAGGCCCAGCTAATTTTTGTATTTTTAATAGAGAAGGGGTCTTACCATGTTGGCCACGCTGGTCTCAATCTCTTGGCTCAAGTGATATGCCTGCCTTGGCCTCCCAAAGTGTTGGGATTATAGGTGTGATCCACCATGCCTGGCCAGATATCACTGGTTTTAAAGCATTCTTTGTAGTCTCACTCAGAATATCAGTTCAGAAAATCTTTTATTACCAATAGATACATGACTTTACAAAAGCTAGTGTATAAGGACATCTTGCCCATTCTTAATAATGCATTGATAATAAAGACACTCAACATTTATATAATGAAGTTACATTCTAGATCATATTCATTTTCCATTTCCAATAGCCCCATTTATTAATTGCAATGATTTCCAACTTTGCTATCAAAAGTAAGTCAACTGTTACTCTGATTACAATTGGATGTTTTAAACTATCATCTTGATTACAAATGAATGAGTGTCATGCTACAGTTGGAGATACTTTGCATATTTCAAAGAAAGGAGTAGAAATATGTCTGACGGTAGAATATAGAATGGTAGAATTTATACATAAAAATCAAGACTATAGTTACCCTATTTTATTATTTTAAAGCTGCACACAATCTTCAGTAGTTTCCTGTCAAGTTAGGAACTTTATATATTAGAGCCTGAACATATTTGTATATGACATTTAACTATAAAGCATTAGGACAATTTTTAAATAAATGTAAAGGCATTGATATGAAAAGAGCACTGTTCTAAGTTGTTACCTGAAAAGGCCATAACATTATTCCTGTGATGTCACAGTTCAAAAATGTTTGAATGATTGACATTTTAAAAATTCTAATTCATATTATCCTCGATACTGATGCATCCTGGATGGGTACCTTTCCTAGTTCTGACATTTCTGGAGTTGTTACCACCTATAATCTGTGGGTTTGTTGTAGTTATAAAATTTGATATTTGGCTAGTTGAAATGTATATGCTAAAATAGCTATAAAAGATTCCTACCTTCAGCCCCTGAAGAATCTATTGTTCTTTGTGATTTGTTCTTTCATTCTGTACCCTAAAAGACATTAGTGCATGAAATTTGCAGAATTGCCACAAGGTCTTCTTGGCCAAAGTCACCTTTCAGAGTTGCCAAGCAAGCATCATGAGATTGGTAAAGCCAACTCTACAGCATCTCTTGGTGGCACTAGATCACACTTTCTTAAGGAAAAAGGCAGCATTTCACACACTGCCTGGCATGGAAGTCAGAGCTGGGAAGAGCTTTGGTGAATAGGCCAGGATGTGCAGTGGGCCGAATGATTCCTCCCCTTAGGTCTGTGATCCAGCCTCTGAAACTTCCCGGAACTCCTTCTGGGATCTTCTGACTCACAGCTTGGGAATAATTAGGAAAGAACGCCTGCCAAACTGAGCAGAACACCTGCTTCCTGCTTACCTGTTTTTGGTGGAACATCTCATTTGTTCTTCAGTACATGTTTGGATGCCATAGTGAAATGCCATAGTGAAAACAGTTTTATCACCGCAGAAAAAAAAGCTCTAATATTCACAGAAGATAGGGGTCTTGGCTTCTTTATTTCATTTTATTAAGACTGTTAACAAAAAATAAGCCTTTATTTTTCCTCTGAACCTAGAAACTATAAATTTACTTGGGTCACTAATAGTGCTCTCAGTCTAAGACAAAATTATGTAATAACAATAATGAACAAAGCACTTCGCATGTGCCAGGCGCTGTTCTAAGTACTTTTACACATTCAGTTATTACTTTTCACAACAGCTCTATGAGGTAAGTACTAGTATCTCCATTTCACAGATGAGGAAACCGAAGCACAGAGAAACTAAGTTAAATCAGATAGCTAGTGTGTGGCAGAGTCAAGGTCAAAATCTAAGAAACAGGGTCTGGAATCTGCACTCTTAACCACTGTGTCACACTGAGATGTTTACCAAACAGCAGGAAGAAAAAGTGTTCTTTTTCCATAGTCAACAGTTCACTCATTATTTTGGTGCAGTGATGTGCAGTTTGCACCAAACTCTCCAATATAAAATGCGGGGAATTACAATGTATACAGAGCCTGAAAACTCACTTACTTTTATGATGACTCGAAGCAAAGAAAATGCTTTATGGATTCAAACAAGTCAGATTTATGAACTCTTCTTTTTTTGTGGAAACTGGCTGGCAGTTTCTATTTACAATATCTCTCCTCTATGATACAAAGCATTGCAATGTAGCTACATGAACACTTCTTCCCCTTTCCCTTAGAGATAGGGAATTAAGTCAAAGGTGATACATATCCCTGGAGTTACCTGAGAAAGAAATTGGGAGAAATGTGAGAATAGCCTTGTGGGCTTTGGTTTCCACAATTCTCAAATTTAACCATGAAATTAAAATTGGACATAAGGGATAGATTTTCCTAGTCATAAGCAGGTCAGGCAGTGATCTAAAGAATTCATATATTCCTTTTTCTCCTCCTTTTAAAACTCCACCTTCTGAAGGACCTAAGAAATATGACCAGTACTAAACTGGTTCATGTACTAAATAATGATTAGGAAGAGTTAAGAGTTGACACAGAGGAAGGCCAGAAAACATGGTAAATGTGTTTAAGAGCATTAAAAAGTTTGCAGACTAAACCATATCTCTAAAGCCTGATGATTTTCCTGAAGTATGGTAACTCAGGAGGGAAAGCAAGACACCCTCATGGGAATTCTTGGAGTTTTTCATTCTTTTCTCTCTCCACTCAGTTCCATCCAGATGTCGCAGTCTCAAGTAGCTAGTAGAAAAAAATTCTGGCCAGGAGCAGTGGCTCAGGCCTGCAATCTCAGCATTTTGGGAGGCCAAGGTGGGCAGATTGCTTGAGCTCACAAATTTGAAATCAGCCTGGGCAACATGCCAAACCCTGTCTCTACAGAAAATACAAAAATTAGCTGGGTATGATGGCACATACCTGTAGTCTCAGTTATTTGTAGGCTGAGGTAGGAGGATCACTTGAACCTGAGAGGTTAAGGCTGCAGTAAGCTGTGATTATGCCACTGCATTTCAGCCTGGGCGACAGGGGGAGACCCTGTCTCAAAAGGAAAAAAAAAAAAAAAGAGAGAGAGAAAAAAGAAAAAAAAAATTTAACAGTAATTAAGAAAGTAAACTAAATGGTCAACACAAATGTATAAAAATATATTTATAATGTAATGTTTATTAAGCTTGCCTGGAAAATTCTTTTACTTTAAATTACTTCATTTCTATGCATGAAAGGAATGTTCCACAGTGAAGCAAAAGCAGTATTTCCAATAATGTTAGTTGTCTCTAGCTCTGTATACATTTGCAGCTTTCAACATCTGTCTACCACCATAACCAATGGAGAGCTGTTTAATATGAAGTTTTGACTAAAAAGGAGAAAACTGGAGTGAAACAGACTCAAAACAAGCAAATCAATACCGAGAGCCAGAAAGTGTTCTTGAAATTTATATACTATGCTTACAAAAAAGAAGCTAAACCAATTGATCATTATATACACACATTTGTGAATATTAGGATCTTACATTTACATATATATGTGCATATGTAATCAAGTAAAAAGATAAATGTTAAATAATTTTTATCAGTGAAAAATACATAAAACACGACTAATACTTCATTTTGAGTGCTTGTTCGATATTCAGTGCTTAAAAACATTTGGAAAAATAATCCCAAAATATAACCTGGTGAAAGATATTTAAAAAGTGAAAGAGATAAGGAAACACTAAGTGTTTGGTGTGACTTTAATAAGTAGGGGAAATGAGCAGAAATAAGATCTATCCTTGGGGAGAAATTGCATAGCATAGACCGGATGAAGAATCGGAAAGGAAGAACATGGTTTTTCCCAAGGCCAATTTTGCTCAAAATGGAACAGAACCAAGGAATTTCCCGTACAACGTAAAGGAACTGAAGTTTCCATCATGAGTCCATTCTATTAGCAGACGCACAACTGACTTCCTCCTTGAGTTTTTACTAGGAGGCAGGCCTCAGGCATTTACCCTACAGTCAGATACAGCGTCAGTTCTTTTCTTGGCTTCCATCAAGAGAGTAAGAGTGCAAGGGTATCATATAATGACATTGCACAACTTTGTAGGAATCTGTCTTTCCTGAAGAACCATCGGACGGTGTGCTAACCATCCTTCCAAGCATGGGCTGGTTTGCAATTCCTGAACCTCGCGATTCTTCTCTAAAGAGTTGCGTTAAGAGTTGGGGCAACTCTTAGGGGATCCTTCCCAGCGCGCTCCAGGGTCTGGGACGGGCGGCGGCGGCCCGGGCCGGCCTGCTACTTGAGGCAGGGACAGCAGAAACAGCAGATGGTCCGGCAGGGATTCTTCTTCTTGTACTGCACGGCCTTGCGCACCTGCGCCTTGGCCTGGCCGGTGTAGTCCACCGTCTTCTGCACGTTGAGCTCGATGACGTTCAGGGTGTCAGCCTGCTTCTCCACCAGCACCGCCATCTGCAAGAAGAGCTCGTGCACGTCGCGGATGCGGCTCTCCAGGCGCAGCAGCTCGCGGTGGCGGCTCTCGATCTCGTTGAGCGCGGCCCGCGCGCCCTTCACGTCGGCCAGCAGGTTCTCGGAGAACACGTCCCACTTGCCCTGCTCGAACATGTCCTCGATCTGGTCGCCCGAGACGTCCTTGCCCATGATCTCCAGCTGGCGCTGGATGCGGATCTTGCAGTTGTCGCGCTGCTTCATCTCCGCCTGGTTGTAGTCGTGCATGGCGCGCTGGAAGGTGAGGGTGAGCGCGTTGTACTGCGCCCGCGAGATGCGCGCCGCCGCCGAGTGCGGGCCGTGCTGGGCCTCGGCCGCCTCGCTCAGCTCCTTCATGGCGCGCAGCTTGCGGTGGATGACCTCACCCCGGGCCTTGATGGCCTTGGCGATGGAGTTGGTGTCGCGCTTGATGCTGCTGAGGCGCCTCATGGACGTGAGGAAGCGGGCGTTCTGCTTTCCCAGCCGCTTCACGTCGGCCACCAGCAGCTGGTTTTCATACTGGATGTCCTGGATGTCTCGGTACAGGGACTCCAGGATGTGGTCCGTCTCGAACACGATGTCCTCGTGGGGCGAGTCAAACTCATCGTCCCCGTCTGGGAACTGCTGGTCATATTGCTTGGACAAGTCCAGAAGTTCTGCTAGCCGGTCTTTCATTTTGCCTACAAGTAGAGACAATGAAGTTAAACTTCTCTATTGAGAGTCAAATATTTGCCTTCGGGGGACTGAAACTGAAACATGTTCTACCGCACTCCCAATTTTTTATTCCAATAAGTGCATTAAAGGAGCTAACTGTTCTGACATTTGCTTACAAGGAAAGAAATAAGATGGCCAAACAACTTGTATTTAAAGGCCTATAGGCATCTGCAGTACTATCATAGCCATCCAGAACTCAATCAGCAATTTAAACTTTTAGATTGCATTGGGAAACCACCTTTTTCTAGTTTTATGTTTTCCAATAATCGCAAATTAAAACAGACATAGAAAAGAAAGAAAAAAGAAGAAGACTTACAAGCATAAGTATTTTTGAATGAAAACAACCTACAAGTCTTTGGGGCCAACATCCAAATGTTGCCTATTTCAACGCTGGTAAGCAGCCCCTCCTGTACATACTAACAACTCTTAAAATAGTTACCATGCAAATCATGATTTAAATTTTTTTTCTGTTAAAGATGTTGTAAAAATAAAACATGCTTGAAGTAAAATGACAGCAGCAACGTAAAGACAGAAATCTAAAGGTGAAATTTAGATGTTGAAGTTTCCTTACTCCTCTTCTTAATAACATTCCCTAATGATAAGCATCGTTAATAACACTGCTTTTTAGAATGCTTTCATATGGAAAATTCCAATTATGTATGGCCTAGTAGCAATAATATAACACGCTCCCATTTGTCCATCACGTAAGCATCCATGTTTGCGCACTTTTAATAGCTTTTTGAAACAAGTTGGCAGCACAAGCAAAATGTTCATGTTTTTACAAGGATGGTTGTGGTAATTCCTCTGCTTAGTAAAGCAAAGTCATAGTCTCTATGTCCGTATTTTTTTCAGTGAAGTAAAAAACTTTCATTTTTAGTAGCATGTATATATGCTAATATAGGGAACATCTTGCCTTTATACATGAGACTTCATGTTGAGAAAGATTCCTTTTCTCCTACATAATTTGCAGCAAAGAGGGGAATTGTGGTAACACATAATGGTTACATAATGTATCAGCACTCTTGGTGTCAAATTAAAAGCTTCTTTCAAGTTGAAGTAATGAACTTTATATCACCACTAATGGAATGCTGACAAGTTGGAATTGGTGATAAATGGAAAATGGTGAAATATTAACCATGGTCTCTCATCTACCATGATCATTATTTACATAAATTAAGCAGAAGTTTTATTCTATGATGGTGATTTTTAATATAACAATGTAAGCTGCTTAAAGTGCCATTTCTGATATCTGGTGGCTATAATCAATACCAGACCTTCTCAATATGGGGAAGGTGATTCTCCTAGCAGTATGGTTGACAGGCAGAAAAAAGATCCAGGCTGGACCAAAACTATGCCTTCACCTGGTCTGAATTTCTTGATATTCAACTGTTTCCTCACTTTAACAAAGTTGAAAGACAAACCACCAACTGGGGGGAAATTATAATAAATGACAGATAAGGGATTAAGATACAAAATAGATGTATTTCTAAGCTACCAAAAAATCTACTTACCCAGACAGTGAAAGGGCAATTCAGAGAAGATATAAATGACAGAGAACATAAATGCATGCTATATACACCTGACATTGTCTATGCATCTTTCATGTGATATGCTCTTTAGTCTTCATACAGATTCTGTGAGAAGGTACTGCCATTATCAGAGCTGGTGTGAGCATGGGGAGATCAAGGAATTTATAGAAGGTCACCAGTAAGTGAACACTCAGGCTTCAGAACAGCACCACTTAACCAATGCACTAAATAATCTTATATTTTTATAATATAGTCACAAAAGATTTCTGTATTAAACAAGGAAATGCAAATTAAACTGCTGAGAATTTTTTCCCCCATAAAGTTAGCAGGACATTTTTTGGTTGCTATTGTTTTTTGAGATGGAGTCTGGCTCTGTCACCCAGGCTGGAGTGCAGTGGTGCGATCTCGGCTCTATGCAACCTCCACCTCCCGAGTTCAAGCATTCTCCTGGCTCAGCCTCCTGAGAAGCTGGGATTACAGGTGCATGCTGCCATGCCTGGCTAATTTTTTTGTGTGTTTTTAGTAAAGCTGGGGTTTCACCGTGTTGCCCAGGCTGGTCTTGAACTCCTGAGCTCAGGCGATCCACCCACCTCAGCGTCCCAAAGTGCTAGAATTACAGATGTGAGCCACCGTGCCCAGCCAAGAACGTTTTAAAAACAGTAATTTTTCAAATGGGTAAGGATTCTGGGAACTCTCAAAAATATTAATAATTCCATCTCATGCCAGTCAGAATGATGATTTATTAAAATGTTGGGAAACGGCAGATGCTGGTGAGGTGGTGGAGAAATGGGAATGCTTTTATACTGTTGGTGGGAATGTAAATTAATTCAACCATTGTGGAAGACAGCGTGGAGATTCCTCAAAGATGCAGAACTGGAAATATCATTTGAGCCAGCAATCCCATTACTGGGTATATACCCAAAGAGTAAAAATCATTCTATTATAAAGATACATGCCTATGTATGTTCACTGCAGCACTCTTCACAATAGCAAAGACGTGGAACCAACCCAAATGCCCATCAATGATAGACTGGATGAAGAAAATGCGGTACATATACACCATGGAATACTGTACAGCCATAAGAGGAATGAGATCATGTTATATGCAGAGACATGGATGAAGGTGGAAGCCATTATCCTCAGCAAACTAACCCATGAACAGAAAGCCAAACACTGCATGTTCCCTAGACAATGAGAGCACATGGACACAGGGAAGGTAATAATGTACACAGAGGCCTTGGGGAGGGGAGGGGAGGGGAGGGGAGAGCATTAGGGAAAAGAGCTGATGCACGCTGGGCTTAATACCTAGGTTGATTTGTGCAGCAAACCAAAGTGGCACATGTTTACCTGTGTAACAAAGCTGCACGTCCTGCACATGTACCCTGCAACTTAAAAACATAAATAAAATAAAATAGTCAATACTATTGTTCAGGGTTCTCAGCTTCTGCTGAACTAAGCAATGACATTAAATTTTCTTCTAGATTAAAAAAAGTAGTCTAATTTAAAATTCCTGTCCTGCCTTTGTTTTTGCAACTTAATCATTTTTCAAATGAAGTATATTAATTATTTAAAACATTGGTAATTGATAGAATCTTTCTGGAAGACAGTTTAGTAGTATGTATCAAAAGCTTTTCAATTGTGCTTTTATTTTGATCTATGTGCATTTATTCTAAAGATATAATGGAAAGGCATATGAAACTCATCGCTCTACATATTTTCATCACCACCTTGTTTTTACAGAAATTCAGAAATAAGTTAAATGCACAATAATGAGGTCCTGGCTTCTACATAAGTCACAGAGATTAGAAGGCTATCTGATGGCATGAAAAGCATATATACTCTGTTAGGCAGAAAAAGTAGGTACGGAGAAGACAGAATTTGCAGCATTCTGAAACAGAAACTTGAATAATACACATCAAAATGTTAATTATCATTTTCTTTGAGTTGTAGAATCATACATGGTTTAAATTCCTTTTGCTTTTCTGTATTTTCCAAAATTTTTATAATGTCCACACAGATTTCATAATTTGAAAACCACCACAAGACTATAAATACAATTTGTGTAAAGGACTAACTCCTTAGCAACTTTTAAAAGTCTATGCATTGCAATCAAGTTAACATTTTACGCTACCTGGCGAAAGCGCATTAGCTAGCTTGCATAGAGTTGAGCTGTACCCATCTGCTTAAGTTAGTATCCAATATAATGTACCATGCAACAACTGGATGAGATGGAATGGATACATTTTGATGAACAAGGCAAGAAGAGGCGAGAGATGCCTTCCTTCCTTACATCTTGGCCAAGCCTTAGGAGGCACTTCAACCGAACTAAATGGGTAGTATAAGGGACTGTGCCACACCCTGGGACACTAGGGATCATTTGTAGGCATCCTGCTTGTTCTAGACAGGTCCTGTGCTCTGTATTGCTCTCCTAGAGCCATGAAAAAGCTATTAAGGAACATTATATCCTCATAATACGAAGAGTCGAGTACAATTCAACGATATAGAAAATGGTCTCGGAAATGTTCAGGGACAGTCATTCCTTCTCAAGATCAAACAACCATAAAGTCATGGATAACAAATTATAAATCAGATGAGGGCCCAAGCTCATGTCCATAGGTGCAAGTCCATAATGTGCTATTAAGAGGGAAAAAAAGGGTACAGGAGACGTAAAGATTCTCTCTTGAAGTGTGGTTAAGAAGGAGGGAAGGGGGCCTTCACCTTGCCTTCCTGCCTACCTTTCCTAGCTCAGCCCAGCCTCAGATGAGTTGCCGCCACTGACATAGAAGGTCTCCTAGTTGCCAGGGAGCAAACATTAAGAAAACTACAACAGAAAGTCAATTAAGAGGTTGCTATTCCTAAGAATGTCTCCAAAAAGGTTAAAAGTGTATAACTGCTGAAGTTATACAAAAATATAGAAGTAGGCACAAATAGAGCATCAAAATAACCTATATATCCTGTAGCCTGATTCCGTACTATGAGTTCCTAGAAAGAGAATTACGGTAAATGAGAAAGAAAATTCAGACAATTCTACAGACCTTCCTGTCTAATTATAATAAAGGATAATGTAATAAACTTTGGCAAATTGTATTCATCAAGTTGCTACAAATAAGTCCTACTTTGATTTGCATGGAGGTGAAGAATTTAAAAGGAAATTTACAACCAACTTCCAAAAATCTGCTTCTGCTTTCTAATTTTCTTTTCAGGCATGCATATAATCTGTCCTGAAAACTAGGTCCAATAGGGAAGGAAGCAGGAATTGCTTAAGTCTTTTTTCATTGAGCAATAAAGTTTTGTGTAAGAGAAAACAAAGGAACAAAGCGATGATGGCAGCTCAGTGGTCCTCAGTCTGCAGGAGGTGACAGAATCATCTGAAGAGCTTCAAAGATTACAGATGCCTGCGCACCTAAAGTTTCTGATTGGGTAGGTCTAGCATGATC